GATTCTTATTAGTTGTGACTTTAAAAGGCAAGCTATTCTATAGTCATATTCTATGCAGCAAAAGCACCACAAAGAATATAGAGAAATGTAACTGTTGTGATTATAAAATTATGTACGAGTACCTGGAAGTTTGGCCACTTTTGTCCATTGTAAAGATCTAGTCATAACCGTAGTAGTATTTTAGCCATTGCTCCACCGAGGCAGGCCTTTGATTGCTACACACACACTCACATACTCTATCCTACTTCTCCCCATAAAATACTCTCACCAACCTTATTTCTCCACAACTTACACATCCTTTCCTTCAACACTTGAATGCGCTTACTAGTACTCCTGCCGGTGGTATAATATCATGAGACTTTATCACCTGTCTGATCTTTTTCATTTTGTAATTTCTGCTAACTCCTAGAACATTAGATTGAAGAAGTTCAAACTTTGGTGATTGAGAGACACATCATCAGGCATATACTGTACATGGGCACTTTGGAATTTTAGTACAATGGGGGGTTGACGAGCCTTTTTTTACATAAACAGACATGAGCTTTTTCTGCTGAAAAGCAGAATTCCATGTTTTTTAATTCAATTCTGAGATTCATCAAGGTTAGGTGTTGGGTCCCATGATAAATGTTCAGAGGATTTTTTTAAACCTAGGGTCATATCTGCATAAAGCATTTTACACCTATGATTACACTTATGCTGTTATAATGAAGATTATTTGTAACAATTTTACATGTAAGACCCAGGCATGGGCGTCCGCAGAAAATTTTCCAAGGGGGGGGGGTCGAAATCATTAAAGGGTGAGATAATGATTTGCTGGTAACCCGCAATTAATGTGCCTGCCAAAATTCCAGGGGGGTCAAGTGACTCCATTGATTCCCCCTGCAGACGCCCATGATTGTCATAGAGCACATTCCTAGAGATTTAGATCGATCCAACTAAATCGACCTAACTGCCTGGGGGTGCATGCTAAATTGCTGTCAGCTGACCACGCACGGAAGTTAATTACCCCCTTACAGCTTTAAGTAGACATTTAAGCTGGCTAAGCTGACAGTAATCTAGTGAGACTCCCCACGGGACAGATCGATCTAAAATCTGTGGGAATGGGGTCCCTAGGGGTGAGCTACTCTTTACAAGGTAGGGAAGTGCAGGTATAGTTGCAATGGCTAAACATCAACACTTTTTAATTATCCTGAACTTATTAAAAACGAACTTTTTAATTATTTGATACTTTGATCTTAGATATTTAACCTTATCTTGACCTTTCTTTTCAGGTGGCCTTATAAATATGGTCCACTTGGTTTGTCAGTGGCAGTCCTGGCCTCCGCATCTGGTATTAATAATCTTATGCGCCGATTTCATATGTTGGGGCGCAAAAATGGACTTTTTCCTGCTGCATTCACGGTTGTGGCAGCACCAGCAATTGCATGTGCTGTGTTTCAGTCCTATTGGGTCGCTGAATATATGATCATGAGCGATGAGCCGTGTTCCACATGCTTCATGATGCGGTCAAGTTTGATCCAACTGACCACAGGGGTTGCTTATCCAGTGGTCGGGGGCTCGCTGACCAACATGTGCCTGGCGTATTTTTACCAGACACGCGGCGTGCCGCCTCTGACCCAGCCAAAAAGTGTGATGAACTTTCTCTGGACTGGGTATAAGCCATACACAGGGCTCCTGACGGGAATGGTGGCAGTAAACTTAGGGCTGGCACTGTTTGTGACATATTCCCAGTTAGCATCTCGCGGTGTGCTCTATAAAGGACTCGTCATGAGAGCAACTGAAGAACTGTAAATATAGGAAATGATGTTTTGAAATATTATTTATCCAATAATTTTGTTTGCTTTGTTGTTCATTCCTTTTTATTTGTTATTTTTTGTTTTATTGATTGATTCACTTTTGGAAGTGTGACTGTTTGAGGAATATTTGAAATAGTTATTGTCACAAAACACTATGAAATGTAATTCTTTGTTTCCTCCTCAGTAAATGTGGTATTGAGCATTAAAGAAAAAACTCTTCAGGAGTGATCATATCGCAGTATAAACTGAGCCCATTGAAGTGGTTCAATTATATGAATATTAGTTTAGCGCCTGGCCAACAAATTTGAGTTTGTTATCCAACTCATAATAAAATTATTCAATAAAGTTAAAACATTGTTTTGGTAATATAATAATTTCTTTTTTTGTGCAACTTTCATGAGAATTTGCAGCTTTGTTAGCTTTATGTTCTTGTACTCATCTTTTTCAACACGGATATAAATTCTGGACATGGATATAATTTTAATTCAAATAAATGCATATAGATCAACAAACCATAACTCTGTTTTTGCTTACACTTGACCTGTCTTAAGAAGGCAAGCAGTGAGCATTAGATTTTAAACAGCATCTAGTATCTTAAAAATGAGTATTTTAAAATTATTTTCTTGGTAATTTCAACACTTCATTTGTCAGGTGAAGCATACCAAAAAAAAATCCTATGTGGTTTGTTTACAAATGATCACATGACGGCTGTATACCATTTCTAATCGTCTTTTTTTATCCCATATACCATATTTAACATTTCAGGTGAAAAAAATCCGAAATACTGGTGATGATATCCATATCTTATGCCACTAATTTAAATCAAGCACCTCCTGAGAGATGATTTTCCAGTGATTTCTACAGAAGCCAAAAAGGTCAAAACTGAAGACGTGCCACAGAATGTCACGTCACATTTATACGCAATTAGCACCAGAATGCATTTAAAAGTCATGTGTCTATTAGCGTTTGTCTCTACAGCATGCTCCAATTATAATTTATGCAATACATACTCTACTTTAAACGGCCTACATCTGTCATGTGATCATTTGCAGAAAAAAAAAACACGGAACTAAAGGTTAGACAACCTTTTTGACCAAGAGTGTCTGTACAGTGTTACATACAGTGCAGCCTATGTCTCAACCTAGCTTTACTATCACAATCATTTTAAATCTATGTACAGTATTACGTGCAGTGTGACCTATATCTTCACTATCACAATCACTGCAAATCTATGTACATTGTTACCTGCAGTGCACCCTATATCTTCACTATCACAATCACTGCATATCTATGTACAGTGTTACGTGCAGTGTGACCTATATCTTCACTATCACAATCACTGCATATCTATGTACAGTGTTACATGCAGTGTGACCTACGTCACAACCTATCTTCACTATCACAATCAGGTACCGTCACAATATCAACAGTCGCTTTTTTCCTTGATGTTATTGTATAATTTGACCCTTGTANTGTGATGAACTTTCTCTGGACTGGGTATAAGCCATACACAGGGCTCCTGACGGGAATGGTGGCTGTAAACTTAGGGCTGGCACTGTTTGTGACGTATTCCCAGTTAGCATCTCGCGGTGTGCTCTATAAAGGACTCGTCATGAGAGCAACTGAAGAACTGTAAATATAGGAAATGATGTTTTGAAATATTATTTATCCAATAATTTTGTTTGCTTTGTTGTTCATTCCTTTTTATTTGTTATTTTTTGTTTTATTGATTGATTCACTTTTGGAAGTGTGACTGTTTGAGGAATATTTGAAATAGTAATTGTCACAAAACACTATGAAATGTAATTCTTTGTTTCCTCCTCAGTAAATGTGGTATTGAGCATTAAAGAAAAAACTCTTCAGGAGTGATCAAATCGCAGTATAAACAGAGCCCATTGAAGTGGTTCAATTATATGAATATTAGTTTAGCCCCTGGCCAACAAATTTGAGTTTGTTATCCAACTCGTAATAAAATTATTCAGAAAAGTTAAAACATTGTTTTGGTAATATAATAATTTCTTTTTTTGTGCAACTTTCATGAGAATTTGCAGCTTTGTTAGCTTTATGTTCTTGTACTCATCTTTTTCAACACGGATATAAATTCTGGACATGGATATAATTTTAATTCAAATAAATGCATATAGATCAACAAACCATAACTCTATTTTTGCTTACACTTGACCTGTCTTAAGAAGGCAAGCAGTGAGCATTAGATCTTTAAACGGCATCTATTATCCTAAAAATGAGTATTTTAAAATTATTTTCTTGGTAATTTCAACACTTTTCATTTGTCAGGTGAAGCATACAAAAAAAATCCTATGTGGTTTGTTTACAAATGATCACATGACGGCTGTATACCATTTCTAATCGTCTTTTTTTATCCCATATACCATATTTAACATTTAAGGTGAAAAAAATCCGAAATACTGGTGATGATATCCATATCTTATGCCACTAATTTAAATCAAGCACCTCCTGAGAGATGATTTTCCAGTGATTTCTACAGAAGCCAAAAAGGTCAAAACTGAAGACGTGCCACAGAATGTCACGTCACATTTATACGCAATTAGCACCAGAATGCATTTAAAAGTCATGTGTCTATTAGCGTTTGTCTCTACAGTATGCTCCAATTATAAATGATGCAATAAATACTCTACTTTAAGCCGGCCTACATCTGTCATGTGATCATTTGCAGGAAAAAAAAACACGGAACTAAAGGTTAGACAACCTTTTTGACCAAGAGTGTCTGTACAGTGTTACATACAGTGCAGCCTATGTCACAACCTAGCTTTACTATCACAATCATTGCAAATCTATGTATACATTGTTACATGCAGTGCACCCTATATCTTCACTATCACAGTCACTGCATATTATATCTATGTACAGTGTTAGTTACATGCAGTGCACCCTATATCTTCACTATCACAGTCACGGCATATTATATCTATGTACAGTGTTACGTGCAGTGTGACCTATGTCACAACCTATCTTCACTATCACAATCATTGCATTTTATGTCGCTGATTCAGGTACAGTCACAATATCAACAGTCGTTTTTTTCCTTGATGTTATTGTATAATTTGACCCTTATATGAGGACGTAGATCAGTCTGACTGAGCTGCCTGTCAGGGGAATTCTCCGAGCAGCTCCTCACATTCATCCATCCTTCCATGTGTGCCATCTCTTCCGAGGGTGACGTTCCATCTTAATTCTCCTGTTCTTAGCTTCATTCGTGCATTCTTCCATTGGTTTACTTGTCCATCTTTTGATGTCATCCATCTATGTTAGTTGTCGTCTCCCTCTCCTACGTGTCCCTTCGACCTTTCCCTCTAGGACACGTTTACAGTTGGTTTCATGTCTGGCTACTTGACATAAGTATTGCAGTTTCCTGCACTGTATGTATGTCAATAAACTTGGTGTGACAGACAATCGCCAACACACTTCTTCATTCCTCGCATCGGAGGTGGTTAAATATTTATCAATTGACTGATTTGACAAAGATTAACATTGGCCAGCCGTGGCACTGGGCCTCACAGGGATATAACTAGGAAGCGCCCCGACGAACTGCACTGATAAAAGGTTAATATTCGAAAAATAATAGTAAAGCTGCTATGTCTGTGTCCACCCTCTCCCTCAAAAAATAAAATAATAAATAAATAAATAAATAAATAGATAAATAATAATAATAATAATAATAATAATAATAATAATAAATAAAAATTATTTTTAATTTTTGTTCTCAGTTTCATGACAATAAGACAGTGCGATCACTAGCTCGCTCTGATATCAAAGCTTTTTTTACATTTGCTACAGATATTTTATCCTGTATTAAGTCATGCGCATTGATGTCACCGTTCAGAAAAACGCTTGTGTTTACCATGTTATTTCTGCGTGTATAAGGGACCATTCCCAGACTATCGTACTACTGTGGATCGATCTATCCCCCAGAGGATTCTGGCTTAATTGCAATCAACTTGAGAGGCTTAGATGACTGTCAGTGAGACTGCTTTAGGGGGTAATTAATTATCGTTAAGCAGCTTCAGTAGGTGTTCTTGACATCTAAGCTGCTTAAGCTGAAAGCAATTTAGCGAGAAACCCTCGGAGATAGATCGATCCTGTTAGATCGATCTAGGTATGGGAATGGGTTCCCAATCTAAAACCCAGGTTGCAATTGTCATTCAAGGTTGACGGTTTATGCTCGACGGGTTGTCAAAAGGTCAAAAGCGACTGTTTTACCTTATAAGGGCACAACTTGTTACGTTTACGTCACATGACAGGACACCTCGTAACTATAAAAACGCCGCCGCCAGCAACACGCCGCGCTTGTAAACGTGTCTCACTTCGTGAAAATGTCTGTGCTACCGATGTGTCTCTTGGCAACATTTTTATCGCTCTTGGGCACTTTTGTCCAGTCAGCGGATGGCCTACGAGTCCTTTCCCTAACAAACGGCACCAGCGATGTACAATCAAAGGTGGATGCCATTAGAGTCAAGACTTTAGAACTGAACGAGCTCCTTTCGTCTGTGCAAAAAAGTCTTGATTCTTGTCTTGATGCAACGACAACAGGTTAGTAACTCTAATCTTACATTCCAACGTTTTCTTCTGGTAAATATACATATATCTTTTTTTTAAATATATTTTAAGGTATTTTGGGTTATTTTTAACAGAATATCTGCCTACAAAACCTTGACATATGGAGCATAAATGCAGCACATAAACATGAATAGAATGTAATTAGATTAACTTATTTCATTCGTCAAATTATTATTTCCCGGATATCACGTCCACAGTTTGCGAAACCATTCTCTGTAATCTCTCCAACCGTTTCCGGCACCAGCAAAATAAAGCTTTTATCTCTGATGGGGAATCCCAGAAAAAACTAAGTAGGGGTTTGAGCTGAATGTACCATTAAATATTCCTTTTAGTTTGATGGAAAATAGGCAAGAAGCTTAATTAAAATTAATAAATTTTACTTAAAAAAACAGAAATTAGATTTAAAGTTAATTTAATTTTGTTTTCTTTGCAGACAGTACACACACTTCTGTGAATCTTTTTCGGATTCTTGTCTCTAATTTTTAACAGATATCCAGTGTGCGTCTGGCTTTGAGAAGTTCCAACGCTCGTGCTACAAGTTTGTGAGAGAGGAGAAGACGTGGCAGCAGGCACAAAATGACTGTCGTACCATGGGGGCGAACCTGGTGTCCATCAAGTCTTGGGAAGAACAGAAGTTCATCCTGGACCACATTGCCGCACACAAAGGTGACAGACGCTACCTCAGTATTATAAGTTTATAAAGAGACAGAATGTCTGTAAGTTACATCTATGCCTGAGTTTTTATACATAGATCGATCCACCTGGATCGATCTAACTCCCTGGGGAGTCTCACTAAATTGTTATCAACTAACCGGCTTAAATGTCTGTCACGCCTACCAAATCAGCTAGGGGGTAAAGATAATTCCCCCCTAACAGCTTTTCTAGGGTGACAGGCATTTAAGCCGGCCAAGCTGACAGCAATTTAGTGAGACTCCCAGAGAGATAGATCGATCCAAATATCTGTGGGAATGGTCCCTATGATACAGGCCCTGATGCCAGTTGAATTTTGGTTTTGAATTTCTTATGCCTTCGTTTATGGCATAAACAATCTTTATCATTATCTTTTTTCTTTGACTGATATTTTTTTTCGTTTATGTAAAATTGGGATTGCCTATTCGATGCAGGGCACCAGTCTAGTATGCGTTGTTATTTATTGCAGATCTGTTCCCAAGTGCTCACGGGTTTCACGCTGGAGCAACAGACGCGGCAATGGAAGGGATTTGGCAATGGGTTTCTGACGGATCTTTGGTCCAAGGTGAGATATGGCGTTTCAATGATTTAAATGGTTGTTATTCACTCTTATACATACTGTAAATGTATTGCCGACTATTTAGTTAGTTTGCATGCATTAATGTTTTATTTTCGTCGTTGCATTATTTTCGGCAGATCACCATTTTGAAGCACTCATTTATATGATCTTGTGTAGCAATTAATCCTCCTCCCGAAAAAATGTCTGCAGCGATGTGGGGTTTATATTCCTACTACATGCACTGCATATTTCAGTCTGGGATGGTTTTGTATCACTGATAATAAAAGACTACTGTGTTCTGGTTACAACACAGAACTTTGGCATATACAGGATACTAAATTACAACTTTGGCGTATACAAGTATACTAATTTGATATTTCAGGATATTTAGGCTGGGACTTCTTTCAACGTGGGTATCAGAACGGAGGCACAAACGAGAACTGTCTGCTGCTGTATGCTCCTCGCAAATACCTGTGGCATGACGAGCCCTGCAGCTTTAAGGCACATTCTATTTGTGAAATTGAAAATTAAGCACCTTGGTGTGTTAAAGATGCATACAAAGTCAATTTTTTGTCACAAAAACCAACCAAATGCCAGCATATAGTTTCAAGTAGTATAACTAAGAGAATTACCAAAAGGCATTGTTTAATTTTACCCAAAAATGATGTTTGACTGGATTTTTCTGCTGGCATTCTAAGCTGTATGTCAATGGGGCAGGAAAGTAGGTCACGAAAGTAGGTTAAATTTACAACCATAAATTTAAAGAAAGGAGCAGTCTAAAGGTCTTTTATGGCTGATCGAATGATCTATTCAGTTTATCCCTTGGCATGTCGAATTTATTTGAGTCATATAAGAATCTAGTAGAAGTGGTTTACATGTGTTACTGGGAATCCACGCTCCACCAATGCTCGGTTCGTATGTACCTTTAACAGTCTGTGTGCAGAATCTACTAACGTATTAAAAAAGAAGTTGTTCATGTAGATGTAATTAAGTCACCACATACGAACTTGTTATGATCTAGAAGAACTTCTAATCACTTTGTAAACTAGACATTTACGTGTTATGTTCACAATGAATCATTTAAAATTTCCTTTATAAGAGGGCAAATAAATATGGGAAACCCCCTTCACTAGATATTTGAATTCGCAGTAACACTTTAACTTAAATTACAAAAATTAGTATACAATAAAGTTTTTTAATCGTCCAACAGTATTTCTGTTCTGTCCACTAAGAACATCAATTTATTTATCATGTAAAGCGTTTCTTTGTCTTCACAAATATATTGTTTACTCTGTTATTCCCTGATTGCGCTCAGCCTATGCGGCTGCGATGTCTGGCACGCCTACTGAAGCTGGGGGTAATTATCTATCTTTTAGCAGCTTCAGTAGGCGTGCCAGACATCTGAGCTGTAAGCTGAATGTTATATAGCGAGAATCCCCACGGAGGTGGGTCGATCTTGCTAGATCGATCTAGGTATTGGAATGGGGTCTAAATGATACTGATCGATCCATTTCCGGGGGGGGGACTCTTGCTGAATGCAATGAGATTAATAGATTAACAGTGATTATACGAGTGCATGTACTAGTACGTTGGAAACAAGAGGAGGCGTGTTTAACTGTTATACTGATTGCATATTCAGAGTCTCCTAGGATATATATGTGCGTATGTTTAGTTGGGAATAGTTCCTAATATTCCACATGATACGGTAGTATCCACATGTAACATGATATACCTCAGCAGGCCTCGTGGTAGCGATTTTGGACCCGGATAAGACTCTTTAACTAGCTTTAACTACTTCACTTCGAGTTGTGAACACTTTTGTGCTACACAGGGATGGCTACTTAAGCTAGCGTCCCGACGGTCTTTTGATGAATCGGCACAGGGGTTAATATGCCTTAAATGATGGTAAAGTCGCTATTTCTGTGTTCACACCCTCAACAAAATATAAAATATATGTACATTTAAATAAATAAATAAATTATGAAAAGAAAAAAAAATAAATCAGAAATAAACAAACTTCAAACTGACAACAGAGGGCACCGGAGGAGACAGGATTGTGCCGGAAGTGTGACGTCATGTGACGTCAATTGGTGTAAGACGTGAAGCTGAGTGGTCATTTATAACTGGAGGTGAATGGGAGTGAAGCCATGAGTTCAGAGAAAAAAGCAGTTTTTCCAATAAATCCGTAAGATATCGTTTCATCTTTATGCATTTTTGGCAGATAATACTTGTAGAAATAAGAGGTACATGGTATGAAAACGTGTTACGCATCTTTTAAAAAAGATTAATCATTGCACAGAGATCGTGGTTCGGTACGATTCAGCTGTCAGTTGCAAACTACTTCCTGGTTTTCACAAAGCCCTTCCAGGACTCTATAACATCGTTACATTCTTAACGTGTCGTTGACAAAACTGCTTTTTTCTCTGAGCCCACGGCTTCACTCCCGTTCACCTCCAACCAAAAACGACCACTCAGCTTCACGTCTTACACCACTACACGTCACTTTCGGCACAATCCGGCATCCTCCGGTACCCTCTATTCAAAGGTTATCATTGTACATGTCATGTTTTAATTTATTCTATGAACGCTCTCTGTCTCTTTTAAAGGGATAATAACTCTTCGTATGAGATCTATATTTCACAATAAAAACATAGTGAATAACTCATAGAAATATAATATATTCTGTTTTACTACAAAAACGGCAGTTATAGCTATTATTCTGATATCTGAACTTGTCTTTAGACCACGCGACCTCCATTGATATACTCTGTTAGAATCTCTTAAGAGATTTTAACAAAAAAAAAAAAAAAAAAAACTTTTTAGGAAAAAAAACAGGGACTAACTTTGAATGTAAAAATGGATTCATTAACCATTGGTAAGTATGGGAAAATTGTTGTTTACTCCAGGAAAATTCATATTTTGGCCGAAACGAAGAGTTATTATCCCTTTAACTAATTACTATTACATTTCCATAGAAAAGGTCCTCTGACGGAGCCACATAACTTGAGTCTCATGACAACATAAGACTGATAAAATTAGTAACTCGATTGGGCCACTATATTGCTACAGATATTTCATACCGCGGAGTAATCTGAATGCCGCATGCGCAGTGATTACACCATTCAAATGAACGTTTGTGATCACAGTGGAAGAACTGCATATTTAAAGCCTGGATTCCATTTACTACTTAAGGTTCAAAGGGCATATTGGTCACATGATCATGAGGCCATAAACTTTGGTTTTACCTTATAAGGGTACAGGTTTTGAGAAGTGTCACATGACAGAGCACCTCGTTACAATAAAAACAGACAGCAACACGCTCCGCTTACGTGTCTCACTTCGTGAAGATGACTGTGCTACCGATGTGCCTCTTGACCACGATTTTAGCTTTGTTGGGCACTTTTGTCCAGTCAACAGATGGCCTTGGAGTCCTTTCCTTAAAAGACGGCACTAGTGATGTACGCTCAAAGGTGGATGCCATTAGAGCCAAGACTTCAGAACTGAACAAGCTTCTTTTGTCTTTGCAAAACAGTCTTGATTCCTGCCTTGGTGTAACGACAACAGGTGAGTTACTCTTATCTTACAACATATTGTTCAACAAAACAGTCTTGATTCCTGCCTTGGTGTAACGACAACAGGTGAGTTACTCTTATCTTACAACATATTGTTCAACACTTAACATTTGTATTCCATACATTTTCGTGTTGTCATTGTTTTCTGAGAAGTATCTTTAGAGATTTTGCTTATTTTAAAAAGTATACCCATGTACAAAACATAAACATTTAGAATTGAAATGCAGCACATTGATATGAAAATGGCTTAATTCATTTGTTCAATAACTGTTTTCCCAGGTATCACGCCCATAATTTGTGAAACCATTATCGATTATCTCTGTTAAATGTGCAATAGGGTTGCAAAAGATTAATATAAATGTTATCATTGAACAATTTCAGTTTAATTTTGACTGTTTTCAATGTTATCTTAATGCTCCTCCTAACTAAGCACTATTAAATAACATAAAGAACAAAACAGCACAAACAACTTGTAAATATTATCATTGATTAATTCCAGTTTAATTTTGACTGTTTTCAATGTTTTTATTAATCTTTCTTCTTTCTAAGCACTACTGTATAAGGTAAAGAACAAAACAGCACAAACAACATATAAAGTGCACATGGACGCAGTAAACGCAGATGTTTTATTAGCCATCTACATATCAACATAAATAAATAAATGTTTTATTAGCCATCTTCATATCAACATGAATAAATAATTTAACATATAAATCATAAACCAGAGGAGAGCCCCTCCTCACCAACATATTTACTTTTTCTTCCCTTTTAAAACTAGGGAATCAGCTGGAGCCTAGCTGCCTCCAAAAAATCACCCCCAAGCTTTTCTCTCCCTTTCATAAGAAATTACCGGGAGTCCATCTCCCAAACTGCTCTTCCCAGCTTAGGTCTCTCCTTTGTGTATGAATACATATATGCATATAAAACATATTCACGGGCACATATTTACATTTATACATTGCAGGCCTTCGCATAGCCTATGTACTACAGGTAGCTTAAAAATGGATAAAATAGCTAAAAATAAATACTGCAATAAAAACAAGTGATCATTATAAATGTTGCTCAAACAATAATTTATACTTCCCAAATTTACACAACTTTAACCACATCATGAAAAATGATAAATAAAATTTAATTTAGCTGTTCACTGTGCTGCGCTAACTGATGGATTGATGTACATGTACTATTCTGAATTACACATTATTCTGCAAAAAAAAGAAAAAAAAATAAATAAATAAAAATAAATAAATGAATAAATAAATTTATAAATAAATAAAAATGAAAATAAACTGGAGAATACCTTTGAAATAGACAGTTATTGACTGACTAACTACTTTGCGAATAAATCGCCTTTGGCCATCTCTGTTCTCCACCCTCCGAGCCTATTTAATAACCTGTTTGGAATATACCGCACGGGGGCTATACAGATAAGCAAAGTCAAGAAAGGCATACGTTGTTTACTGGATCACTGTTTATTCCAAGCTGGAATACTCAGGACACGTGAAAAAAATAGAAAAGAAAAGAAACTAGAGGATCAGAGAGGCGATACCGCCTCCGGATATTGTACCACCAGCTGGAGTAAGCACATTCGTATGGACCCACCCCCCTAAAAAAAAAAGACACCACCACCAGTCTTGTGCTTGACAAGCTGTATAAGATGCAAAGAAACAAGAATTCTCAAAATATGCAAAAAAAAAAAAAACTAAAAATGGTACAAACAAAGTTCAGTTCATCATAAAAAGTAGGTCAAAGGTCAATTTTAAGGTCACAGTGAATTGCCAGTATATGACTTCCTATTCAAGTTCAGTAGTAACTATGGTNCTATTCAATTTCAATAGCAGCTATGGACCTATCTCTGCCAGTTTTTGAGATAAAAGGGAACCAAAATTTGCAAAGTTCAATTCATGATGAAAAGTAGGTCAAAGGTCAATTTCAAGGTCATACTGAGATTGCTAGTATATGACTTCCTAAACAAGTTCAATAGTTACTACGGGCCTATCTCTGCCAGTTTTAGAGATAAAAGGGAACCAAAATTTGCAAAGTTCAGTTCATGGTGAAAAGTAGGTCAAAGGTCAATTTTAAGGTTACAGTGAATTGCCTCTAATGACTTTCTATTCAAATTCAATAGTAACTATGGGCGTATCTTTGCCAGTTCTGAAAGTATAAGCATTAAAAAAGTTGCAAAGTTCAGTTTATGGTGTAAAGTAGGGTGAAGGTCAATTTCAAGGTCACAGTTAAATTGCCAGTATGTGACTTCTTATTCAACTTCAATAGTAACTATGGACTTATCTCTACCAGGTTTGGAGTTAAAGGGAAAGAAATGAGCAAAGTTCAGTTCATGGTGAAAAGAAGGTCAAAGGTCAATTTTAAGGTCACAGTAAATTGTTTCTAATGACTTTCTATTCAAATTCAATAGTAATTATGCCCGTTTCTTTGCCAGTTTTGAAAGTTTAAGCATTAAAAAAGTTGTTTATGGTGTAAAGTAGGTCAAAGGTCAATTTCAAGGTCACAGTAAGATTACCAATATAAGACTTCCTATTCAACTTCAAAAGTAACTATGGACCTATCTCTGCCAGTTTTAGAGATAAAAGGGAACCAAAATTTGCAAAGTTCAATTCATGATGAAAAGAAGGTCAAAGGTCAATTTCAAAGTCACAGTAAGATTACCAATATAAGACTTCCTATTCAAGTTCAATAGTAACTATGGACCTATCTCTGCCAGTTTTGGAAATAAAAGGGAACCAAAATTTGCAAAGTTCAATTCATGATGAAAATGGGTCAAAGGTCAATTTCAAGGTCACATTAAAATTGCCAGTATATGACTTCTTATTCAAGTTCAATAGTAACTATGGACCTATCTCTGCCAGTTTTGGAGATAAAAGGGAACCAAAATTTGCAAATTTAATTTCATGGTGAAAAATAGGTCAAAGGTCAATTTCAAGGTCACAGTTAAATTGCCAGTATGTGACTTCCTATTCAACTTTAATAGTAACTATGGACCTATCTCTGCCAGTTTTGGAGATATAAGCGACTAAATGTTATAATTTTGGAGTTACCATAATGTGCCATAAATGTTCTACAGAAAAAAATAATTGAAATAAAGAAAAGGTCATTTTGGTTGAAATTCTTGAAATGGGAGATGCTCAGAAGTTCCAGATGTTCAAATTTCTTGAAATAATGTCATTTTTCACCAGAAGTTGTCTGCCTCGCCAAGCCTTATGTTTTATATTCCCAGGGTTCAAAATTTATTATCCATTACCGTACTGCACATTTTGCTTTCACCACCAATATGTACATTTTGATACAGCATAACTCGAAAACCGTATGAAATACATAAAAACGGAGACCACTTTCAGTGTTGGGCTTTACATGCTCTACAAAATGCAAAAAAGAATGGGTCTCTAGCATTAACGGTTCCCTAATTAGAGACAGTTGTCAGTATCGGTATCTTTTGGCCGCTGCTCCCGTGAAAATGCACCGATTGACCCCAAACTCACCGATAAGAAAGATGACTTGTAGGGTAACTCTTTCCAATAATATTATAGGTTAGGTCTGTGTAGTGTCTGAATACCAGCGCAAATAATTTTTTTTTTCGTAAAAAATTTCGTTTTTTTGAAAATTTTGGCCCGTTTGACCTTGAAATAAAGGTCAAGGGTCAAATCCAAGGGCATATTTGAAATCTCCATATATGACTTTCGGTCAGCCATCTGTAGAAATTTTTCCCATAATTCCTTCGGTATGGTAGATAATTAGCATTTAATTTTGCCAATTTTGGACAAGGGTGCATTGCAATGAGCGCCACACCTAGACCCCTGAACCGATGAAGCCCAAATTTTACGTGGAGCGAGTTGAGATTATATGTGACCTTAATCCAAGAGATGGGTACGCAGGCCCTTGTAGTCTAGGAGGAGAAGCGGTAACGGTAACATGGCGGCGGAGTTCAGTCTTCAATGCAACCACTTCTTTAATCTGAGATAATTTATGGGTGTTCGTCGTTTCTTCTTGGATAATCTATCTTGCTTTTAACACGCGCTTTGTTAAAGAAGCGAGGCGTCCCGTTCTTGTTGCTTTCAATCATCTCTCCTCCATGCCGTTGGTGTTGATATCCGGCTCGCGAGACCAAATGCTGCGGACGGAACGAAGATTAAAAACAAAAACAAGAACAATAACAAAATAAATAAAATGAATAATAATTTTAATGTAACAAAAATATTAATAATACAAAATCTAATTAAGATAAAACAGTACAAATTGAACATCGCTTCTGGTGAGATTGCTGTTGCCGAAGGCTGGCGGGTAGACCGCTGCAGGGAATATCGCTGAGAAGAGGACTGGTGAGAGAACCACTGATGTGAAACGACTGACGCCTAGGGTTGCTGAAAACACCGCTGAGACGAGGGCCAGTAAGAGAACCACTGCCAGGAAGACCGCTGTCGCCGTGGGCTGCTCGGTACACCGCTGAGACGTAACAGATGATTGGTCACGATGTTGTGCAATCAGCTGAATGGTTCTCATGGAACAACCCAACGGTCAGGCAATTCAGGGTCATACCCACTCCTATGTTCACAACTTGGTAAAAAAAATGTATCCATCTCAATTAAAAATAATTGCTGTTGGAGTATTTATTGGCCACACTACATTAGGTACGTCTATATTCCACTACTCACATTCCCAATTTACACGATGATCAGTTGCCTACATTTTTGCTAGGGGGTATATTTTCTTTGAGTTCTTTTCCTTTATGATAATTTAGTATTGCGTTATTTGGATTCAGAATGACTATAACGGATGTCTTAATTTGTATCTTGATATTCGTCGTGTAAAAATATAGGTCAAGGTATGATCTACTAAATTTAGTATTGTTAGTAAGCTCTAAGCAGAACTGATGGGAAATTTTGGAAATTAGAACAACTTTTATTTCAAAGTTTATTGTGAAAATTGCCACAAATTCTTTGTACAGCGGTTGCATTCACCAAAAAGACATTTTCAAATTACGAGATTAGACAAAATCCCTTGAGTAATGCAAAACGGTTGGTTGAATTGGGTATCATGTGAGACAGATATGAGCAGAATGGCAGTCCACGTATACTCGTATGGCGCTATCACTGGTGTTTGCGGTTGCAAGTTATTTTTTCAGCACATTTGTAGCACTCAGCACTTAAGTGGATGTGCTGTTTTGGGAGCAAACAAGAAGGCAGAGCAACCAACGGCATCGCACAAGGTAACATACGCGACAAGGCATCAGCACTGGTCGTCCCTGTAAACCTACAATCTGGAGGATTTGTTAACCTTACCAGTGTCGTTAGATGAGAACAATATCGGCCTCTTCACTAAAGGACCGTGCCAAAATATTTGCAAGGCAGAATCTGAAATCTCTCGCGTTATTGTGTAAAGAAGAAAGTTTCTAAAGCTAAATATGGCTTAAATAGTCCTTTTAGTTTCGTTTGAAATAGGCAAAGCACCTATACCTTCTGTGCATCATTTACTAAATAAATCTAATTCATAAAAAATACAGAAATGAGATTTGTATTTTATATTGTGTTATTTGCATACAGTATACATATTTCACTGAATTTTTTTCGAATTCTTCTAATTTTTAACAGGGATCCAGTGCGCGTCTGGCTTTGTGAAGTTCCAACGCTCGTGCTACAAGTTTGTGAGAGAGGAGAAGACGTGGCAACAGGCACAGCATGACTGTCGTACCATGGGGGCGAACCTGGTGTCCATTAAGTCTTGGGAGGTGCAGAAGTTTATTCAGGACCACACAGCCGCGAACAAAGGTGCCAGACGCTAGTTCAACATTATCAGTTATAAAAAGAACTTGACAATTACGATACGGGTATTCGGTCAGTTAAGGCCCGGTCACACCTACAGAACGCACGAGGTACGCATGCAATAGCGAATACATAATAATAGCGAATAATAGCGAATACATAGCGTTTTGTTGGCTTATTTTGCGTATAAAGGGCGCATAAAGATCGAATATAGAACGCACGCGTAAAAAAATCCAACGAATGCACAACGGGTTTTTGGCGCAAGGAACGAATGATCCGCGCATTCAGCACGCATTAAGCGAACAGATAGCGTTCCTCAGTCAGCAGCAATCACGTGATTCGTTTTCTATATATATAAAAAACTGCAGATTATGTAAAAAGCAACCAGTGAAGTTTGTTTTCTTGGATACACATCTATCATTTTATTCATTGGGAAAGTTATATATTAAACAGCAAAATAATAAAGAGAAGCATTAACATGATATAATCTGTCAATGTAATTGTTTTCCAATTATAACCGGACATTGTTTTTAAATAATTTATGTAAAAATCGAGCTATACAAAATATTAAAATTGAGACCATCTAAGAGAATAAAATTTAACCCTGATTATAACTATAATTACAGTAACATCACATGTGCATAATGTATTTTGCACCACTGTGTATTTTAATGTCTTGTTTAGTCTATGTTTAAATGGTCATTTCAAAGGGAAGAAAGAGGTAGTCTAAACCATCCTGTATTGCCATGGAACAGATCCGGCTTCAGAGTTGGCCCAGTGTTTGACGAGATTTCTCCGTTTTTCCCTTCCTTGCTGGACGTGTTTCTAACCTGTGACGTTGCGGGTGTCCTCTAGATTTCGGTAATTTCTCCACTCACCAGCAGCAAACTCTTGACACAGGTTCTCGGAAACGTCAAGCTGCTGGCTCTGCAGTGAATACCGGGTCCTCATAAGGTTGTGGAAGATGCTGCTTGTTATAACAATTTTTTTTTTGATGGCCTTGGGCTGCTGCTGCATTGTCCTAATAAGTAGAACTTGGAAACGGTTCGCCAGAATGCTCCTGATGTCACAGGCTTGGTGGAGTGCAAGTTCCATGACGTTATGAGAATGTTGGCGAACTGCAGTTTCGTATTCTAATCGCAGCCTGTCAATAACTTCCATATTATGCAGCGGTTATTCAGCAAAATTGGAGAAGTAATGAGGATACAGAAGACCCATTTATATATACACCATAGATACATGCTAGACTCGGGACAACGACAGAGGCGCGCTTCAATAACGCTGGGTGCGTTATAGAGTCGTTCAACGTTCGTTCTGATTCGTTAGAGATTCGTTTAGCACCCGTTTATATGTTCGCTACACATGCGTTGGAAGCATGCTGTGTGCTCGCTACGCCAAAGCCAACGAATTTGAAACGAACACCTAGCGTTTATGCAGCGTCTGATTAACGCTGGTCCAGCGGCCTCTGCGAATGCCGAGCGACCTTTTGACGTGCAAGTTCATGCGTCGAGCTGAACGCACATTTTTGTGCATGCACAAAAACTCAGACGCACAAGAACGAATGAAAACGAATGCATAACTGTCGCCCGGCGCGTCTGACGAATGCAGACGCATAACGGCGCACTGGCCAAAATTGCCAAAATTGCCAAATTTTTTTAGCGCGTCGGCCGTGCGCCGACCCTGCGTCGTGTAGGTGTGACCGGGGTATTAGATTTTGATAAATAAACTTGTAGCAGAGAAATGTCCTATTAGAAAGACAGGAGAGAACATTCTTCCATGAATACGTTAACGATATGAAAAATTTTCATCATTTCACCTCTTCTTTAACTGATAATTGCTTAATTTCGAAAAAAAAGGAAAAACCTTAAGGTTGGCTTTTTAATGTATTGTTGCAGACCTGTTCCCAAATGATCTCGGGTTTCACGGTGGAGCCACAGACACGGCAATGGAAGGGATTTGGCAATGGGTTTCTGACGGATCTTTGGTCCAAGGTGAGATATTACTCCTTTCACCAGTTGTGATTCATCATCATCATCATCATTGAGGGCATTCAGAAAAAGTTGATCCGGGAACTAACAGCTCCTCGGACTAAATATTGCCATTCCACTTCAAAGCAATGCCGCTGATCCCCTGATGGTCTACCCACCTTAATGCGTGCCGTCAATGCAGGGGCCTAGCAATTAAAGCTGGGAGCCGAGATTTAATCCATTAAATGGCGCGTGTGGAGGAGGAGAGACCATCAGGGGATGAGGGTGGTCAGCTTTTTAGTGGGGTTGACCATACTTAGTCGGCGGATCAGTAAGTCCGTGTATAATCTGTTTTAAATGCAATCATTGGCTATAATCACAACAGCGGACTTACTAGTCCGCGGATCAAAAATGGCGATCCACTTAAGAGCTTGACGTCGAATCCCACTGAAAAGATTTCCCGTGGGGATTATGCAACAAGCATTGAAGTGGGTCAACCGTATTTGATCTGCGGACTGAATGGGGCCATTGGCACTGTATGAATTTGCGCTTTGAGTTGAATCCTCTGTCTGCCTCTCCAGATGCAAAAGCCTTACCTCAAGTACTCCATAGTTCAGTTTGGGATATTTGGTTATCACTATTAGTTTCGAAGATTGTTGTGGTTATAACCCATTGCCCTTTGTTATACACGACTACTTTGACATTTCAGGATACTTAGGCTGGGACTTCTTTCATGGCAGACATCAGGACGGAGGCAGAGGCGAGAATTGTTTGCTGCTGTATGCTGGACGCAAATATCTGTGGCATGACGAACCCTGCAGCTATAAGACACATTCTATTTGTGAAATTGAAAATTGAGGACCTTGGTATATTTACAGTCTGTGTGCAGTCTACTAGCTTATTAAAAAGGAAGTTGTACAAGCAGATGTAAATCACCAGGTACGAACTTGTAATGTGTTAGAAGAACTTCTACTCACTTTATAAACTTGACATTTACCGTTGTACGTGTTGATGTTCATAATGAATCATTTAAAATTTTTCTTTATAAGAGGGTAATTGCAAATAAAAATGGGGAAGCTCCCTCTACTAGGTATTTGAATTCTCAGTGACACATGATCTTAAATTACAAAAATTAGTGTACAATAAAGGCCTTTCATCATCCAACAGTATTTCTGTTCTGTCCACTAAGAACAACAATTTATTTATCATGTAAAGCGTTTCTTTGTCTTCAAAAATTTATTGTTTTGACGAAAAATAAATTTCTTTGGAACAGCTTCTCTGTTAACATCACAGAATTTAAGCCTCATAACGATATACACATATCGAACCATCCGTTCTCTTGTTAAACATTGAATCCAGTTCTCATCGTTGCTACCTAGGACCTTTGGTACATGGGTACGAGTTACTACCAAGACCCCGTTCCCATACCTAGATCAATCTAGCATGGGTTTCTCGCTAAATTTCACTCAGCCTAAGCGGCTGTTATGCCTGGCACGCCTACTGAAGCTGGGGGTAATTATCTATCGTTTAGCAGCTTCAGTAGGCGTGCCAGACATCTAAGTTGTTTTAGCTGGATGTTATATAGCGAGAATCCCCACGGAGCTGGGTCGATCTTGCTAGATCGATTTAGGTATGGGGATGGGGTCTAAATGATACTGTAATTCTACGAAGATCGATCCATCTCCTTGGGGACTCTTGCTGAATGCAATTAGATGAACAGACTAACAGTGATTATACGAATAATGTACTAGTACGTTGGAAACAAGAGGAGGCGTGTTTCTCTGTTATACTGATTGCATTCAGAGTCTCCGAGGATAGATATGTGCGTAGAACGATAGTTTAGTTGGGAATAGACCCTAATATTCCACATGGTACGGTAGTATCCACATGTAACATGATATACCTCAGCAGGCCTCGTTATAACGATTTTGAACCCGGATAAGACTCTTTAACAGCTGACTACTTCACTTCGAGTTGTGAACACTTATGTGCTACACAGGGATGGCTACTTAAGCCAGCGTCCCGACGGTCTTATAATGAACTGGCGCAGGGATTATAATATGCCTTAAATGATGGCAAAATCACTATTTATGTGTCCACTCCCTCAACAAAATAAAAAGATGTACATTTATATAAGTAACTAAATGAATAAACGAAATTATATAAATCAGAAATAAACCTCAAACTAACAAAGCAAAAGTTGTGATTTTACTTGTAATATTGTAATTTATTCTATGGACGTTTTCTATCTCTGTTAACTAAATACTATTACATTTCCATAGAAAAAGGTCCTCTGACAGAGCCACATAACTTGTGCCTAATGATGACATATTGGCTTAAATGCTGAAATCAGGAACTCGATTTCATATCAAAGATAATTAAAGGGATAATAACTCTTCGTATGAGATCTATATTTCACAACAAAAACATTGTGAATAACTCATAGAAATATAATATATTCTGTTTTAGCACAAAAAAGGCAGTTATAGCTATTATTCTGATATCTGAGCTTGTCTTTAGACCACATACCCTCCATTGATGGCTATACTCTGTTAAAATCTCTTATGAGATCTTCTTAAGAGATTTTAACAAAAAAAAACAAACTTTTTAGAAAAAACCAGGGACTAACTTTGAATGTAAAAATGGATTAATTAACCATTGGTATGGGAAAATTGTTGTTTACTCCAGGAAAATTAATTTTTTTGGCCGAAACGAAGAGTTATTATCCCTTTAAGGCACCACATTTTGCTCCAGATTTTTCATACTGCAGAGTTACACGAATGCCGCATGCACAGTGATCGCACCTTTCAAAGAAATAACAGTGATCACAAAGGGGTATCTGCATGTTTACATTTACTACTTAGCTTCACAGGTCATATTGGTGACGTGGGCATGAGGCCATTAACTTTGGTTTTACCTTATAAGGGTGCAAGATTTGAGAAATGTCAACGTGGTCACATGACAGGGCACCTTGTTACAATAAAAAAGCCGCCCCCAGCAATACGCTACGCTTACGTATCTCACTTCATGAAGATGTCTGTGCTACCAATGTATCGCTTGACCACGATTTTAGCTGTATTGGGCACTTTTGTCAAGGCAGCAGCTGCAAGAGACCTTAGAGTCCTTTCCTTAAAAGACGGTACTAGTGATATACGCTCAAAGGTGGATGCCATTAGAGCCAAGACTTCAGAACTGAACGAGCTCCTGTCGTCTGTGCAAAGTAGTCTTGAAACCTGCATTGATGAATCGACAACAGGCGAGTTACGCTAATCTATCAGTTTATTCTTCAGTTATTTACATATGTATTCCATCATTTATTTTGCGTTGTCAGTATTCTAAAATATTTTAAAGGAATTTTAACTCATTTTTAAGTAAAATGTCTGCGTACAAAATCTTGCTTTATTGCATTTGTCAAATTACTCTTAACCCGGATATCACGTCCACGTTTGAGAAACCATTCTGTAATGTCGTGAACTGATTCCGGTTCCCCGTGCTAGAGAGTCCGCTTCCCATTCAATTGTATAAGAAAGCCTAGCCCTAGATTTTTTACCCACTTAGATCAGGCTAACCCTAACCATGATAACTAAATGGAGGGCGGATTTTCTGTTACACGAACCTACAGTTTCGTTTCACCAGGACGAGCAAAATGCAGATTTCTCTCTGATACAGTATTCCAGGACGAACAAACGAGGGTCGTGGCCTGATTATCTTATTAAATATTGCATGAAGTTTGATAGGAATTGGGCACTATTCCCGTGAAAGAAACACCTCTACCTCTGTGCTTCAGCAATTAAATAGATGTAATTTATAAAAAATACAGAAATAAGATTTGAATTTAATTTTTTGTTATTTGCATACAGTATACATATTTCATTGAATCTTTTTTGGATTCTTCTCTCTAATTTTAACAGATATCTAGTGCGCATCTGGCTTTGTGAAGTTCCAACGCTCGTGCTACCAGTTTGTGAGAGAGGAGAAGACGTCACTGAGTGGTCTATTCCGAAAAGACGATTACAATAAGGGTCAGCCCAAAGAGCGTAGTCTCGAGACTTAACGTAAAAACTGACGAGAATTGGTAGATTTTTCAAACTCCTGCTTCGGTCATTTGACTACAGCAAAATTTTCTTAGACCAACTGTTTAGATGAGATCACAGAATTTAACACTTACAGCGACATACACTGATCGAATCACTCGTTCTCATGCTAAAAATCGGATCCAGTTCTAGTGGTTGCTACCAAGGACACATCATACATCATAAGTGGATCTAAGTTGCTGCTAATATTCCTCACAGTGCAGCTGTATCGGCATGAGAAATCTGCCTCAGCAGACCTCGTGATACCGATTTTAAACCCGGATAAGAGTCTTTTACAGCTCTCAACTTAACATCACTTCCATCCGTGGACAACTATGAACTACACAAGGTGAGCTACCTTAGGGGGCATAACGAGGATTTTATGATGACTTGATACAATGGACACTTAATATGCCTTAAATGACGGTATAGTCGCTATTTCTGTGTCCACACCCACAAGAAAAAATATAATGTATGTGTATATATAATTATAAGTAAATTAATAAATAAACGAAATACATTTTATAAGAAATAAACAACTTCGAAGGAACTAAATCAAAAATTATCCCTAACATGCAATGCTTTCATTTATTCTAACAGCGTTTTCTTTCTCTTTAAACTAACTACTTCTGTAGTACTACATATTGTATTGCATCATTATAAACGAAGCTCTTCGACACAACTGCAAAACCCGAGCTTCATGACAACATATAAGTGATGAAATCAGTAACTCGATTTTGCATCAAAGATAGAACCTTTTTCGCTCCAGATATTATATATTGCAGAGCTATCGTGATCGCACCTTTTAAAGGAACGGTGGTGATGACAATTGTATACGTGTACGATTTAAGCCTAGATTACATTTACAAATTGAGGTGCACCTCATATGGTCACGTGCTCATGGGACCTTTGATTTCTGTTTTATTTAATATGGGTAAAAGTATGTGAGAAATGTTAACGTGGCCACGTGACAGCACACCTCGTTACCATAAAAACGCCGCCGCCAGCAACACACCACGCTTACGTGTCTCATTTGGTGAAGATGTCTGTGCTATCGATGTGTCTCTTGACCACAATTTTAGCTCTATTGGGCACTATTGTTCAGTCAAAATATGGCTTTGGAGTCAAGAGACGGCACCAGCGATGTACGCTCAAAGGCAGATGCCATTAGAGCCAAGATTTCAGAACTGAACAAGCTCCTTTCGTCTGTGCGAAATATTCCTGATTCCTGCGGTGAGTTACGCTCATCTAACAACATTGTTAAGAAATTTACATTTGTATTCCGATGGAATACAGTACGGACCACTGAATACATGTTTCAGTGAACCTTCTTAGGATTATTCTCTTTTAAAATTAAAATTTTTAACAGAGAACCAGTGCGTGTCTGGCTTTGTGAAGTTCCAACGCTCGTGCTACAAGTTTGTGAGAGAGGAGAAGACGTGGCAGCAGGCACAGAATGCCGGTCGTACCATGGGGGCGCACCTGGTGTCCATTAAGTCTTGGGAAGAGCAGAAGTTTATCCTGAACCACATAGCCCCACACAAAGGTGACAGACAATAGTTCAACGCTATCCGTTTATTGCATGTAAGGCACAGATACTGGTGTCAGTTAATTTGGTTTTCAATTGATTAGGCCTACGTTTACGGCATGAACAATCTTTCCTATTATGTCTTTTCTAAAACTGGCATGTTTTCGTCTTTGTAAAATTGGGGTTGTCTATTCGAAACACGACATAAGACTAGTGTGTTATGCGTTGTTACCTATTGCAGATCTGTTCCCGAGTTCTGAGGGGTATCACGCTGGAGCAACAGACACGGCAATGGAAGGCATTTGGCAATGGGTTCCTGGCGGATCTCTGGTCCAAGGTGAGATACGGCTTTTCAATGATTTTAATGGTTGTTATTCACTCTTATATATACTGTAAATGTATTGCCAAATATTTAGTTAGTTTTCGTGCATTAGTGTTTTTATTTTTGCTGTTGTTGCATTATTTTCGGCAGATCACCATTTTCAACCCACTGGTCTATACATGTATGATCTTATTTAGCCTTCCTCCTCCCGAATATTGTCGGCAACGACAATCTGATGGTTATATTCCTACTAGTTGTACATGTATTTCATAATTCAGTTTGGGATGATTGTGTAGCACTATTAGTTAGGATGTGACAATGTGTTTACAACACAGAACTCTGTCGTATACAAGTT